ATATATATATATATATACACATATATATATTAATAGGAAGATTTTTAGCAGATAATTAATATACATCTTTGTCATGTCGAATAATTTTTCTGATAATGAATGCGTATTAATTCACATAAAAAAATATTACTTAACACATACGGAGTATTTATTACTATAATAACTGTAGTTTGTACATAAAATGAACGGTTTTGATCTAAAATATCTAAAAATTTAGCTAAATATCTAAAAATAATTTTAGATCTGTTACGTCCTGTAGGCGCCATTCTTTTCTTTTGTAAGAACTGGCTTCACATCGCGATTGTTGATGGCATATCTGAGATTCAAATACAGTCTTCTATTAATGATTTCAAAGAATTAAAGAGACTAGACTACTTCCATGAAACTCATAAATGTCAATCAATCAGGAAAGAATAATAACTATAATGCGAGGCCAGAAGTAGTAAGATTGCGTTTACATAAAATATATCTGTCATGCAAATAGCGAATATCCAAACTGTCATCCGAGGCTGATCAATTCCATTTTAAGTAGAAGAAAACAGGCAGCGCGCCAAATCATAAAATGCATGCGGTAATGTAATCTGAGATCAGACTCGCGGCTGACAACGATTACCTTGGACGCAATAATTCTAAGAAAACTAGATACGGTAAGCAACTGTTTATTTCGCTATATTTTTCGCGATATAACAAAATTTGTCATCCACTCGTAGCAGTCTCCTAGTCGCCTTAAGGAAAATCGTAAATTACTTCTTTTCTTTTTGAAACTTTATTTAACAACGCACTCAACAATGAGATCAACAATGATAGGACTAGAAAAAAGAATGTAAAAAGAAAACGTAAATTATCAGCATGATTCTGCAACATAACAATACTCTCTAGGCAAAGGAAAAGACGCCCTTTTTTGAGGCCCGCGAAAACGCACGGACAGAATCAAAGTCTTACTAAGTGATACACGTCGTGTGCAGGGTTTTTGTACATTATTGTGGGCGTTGGCTTGTGATTCAATTTCGATCAACCCATTTGTGGTACTTGGATTCTGCGATAATTATGGCCTCCGCAGTTGATGCCAGCCTCTTCACTTTGGAAACCCAATGTAAGTCAACCATTAACATAATAAACTTGTAAAAATCCTCTCTGTTTTGAACTCACTTTTAGAAAAAGGGCGATCGCGAAAATATTATAATATAGTATTTAGAACTATAATATAGTCCATCCAAACTATTTGTTAGCCTCTCCTCCCTTCTCTATTCCTTTTTTTTCAACCACGAATCTTGAGCGTTTATCCGCTCCAAAAATTCGTCAATTCTTTCCTTTTCAATCGCGAATCTTGAGTGTTCATCCGCTTCAAAAATTCGTCAATTCTTTCTCTTTCAAACTTAACAATAATTTCCAATTCGCCCCAATTTTTTCCCCTTCCTCTATCATAATCAATGAATTAAACTAATTCTACGCATATCGCCTCTCCGCTTGCATACACATGAACACATATACACATACCATACCTTTTTTGTGAGTATATGCAGGTCCGTATGAATGTAATCCGCTTCGAACACATCTAATATATAGATTAAAGAAATATTATTAAAAAAAGAAGTAGTTGAAAAACTGATATTGATTGCAAGTTGATAAAATTAAAGCAATATTTAATAATTAATTCAGTAATAAGCAAATTGGCTAAAAGGCACATTAATAGAGACAGTTATCCTAAGCCTTATCAAGCCTTTCCTTCTCATTATCTCTGCGATCAACTTTTCAAGCGTTCGAACAGATCAAATAATTAGGACGCATAAGCTGGCTGATGGAACATCAAAACTCTTTCCAATATTGTCCATTATGCTTGAGCATTCTATATAATTATTTTCAATAAAATTATTTTTAATTCCAGATTTAAATTTTTAAATAGCTCAGCAAATTCTTTCTATGTATGCTGCTTTCTAAACAACAGCAAGCAAAAAGTGAAAATTTTAATGAATTTTAAGAATTAAAAATGAGATAAAGAAAGCTTGAAATAAAACTTAATGGCTGCACTTATCGCTAAATTAGGAACTTAAATATTACATTACGACGAGAGTGCTTAAAACCGCTCAAGAGCTCGCCGTCACCGACTGGGACGCGAGCGAGGTTAATCCGATCTCTGAAAAATGTATAGCCTCGTAGATAAGAGGAAAACAATTTCGTGGTGCAATATGCATTATGTAAAATGTGCCGTAAATTTACCTTATATAAATTACGCTTTAAATCCTTTTACAACGGCCCAACTCTTAACGGCGCGGCGGTATGGGGAACTGTAGAACAATATATAGATAAATATTGTAGCATCATGACGGTTTGCGAAGAAGGCGGGAAAGGAAATAATTTCGTTCTACTGTTAAAACGAAGCTCTTGCTTTCTCACGGTGCGTTTCTCTCTGCCCCCGACAATTAACCACGACTCTTAACAGCGTCCTGTTTTTGAAGTAACAGATCTTCCCCCCTCCCCTTCCTCCCTCTCTCCATTCAGTCTGTTCATCGGCGAAATGTTCGCTGGAAAGTAATTATGGTAGGCAGTAGCTGCAGATTATAGGACATCGTGCTTCGGTGCCGGCACGACCGGCACAATGTCCTGTAATATAAAGTGTGCTGATGTTATCACTAGATTTAGCAATATGTTGTTTCTTGTATCGGTAAGCTCGACAAAGCGTCAGACGAATCCTTTTAAATTCCGATCACGTTACGTCATTATAATAGTATGAGTCAAACCGGAAATTATTGTGAATAATCCTCCATATTATCCCTATCTCTGATAATTTTAGTTGATTGAATTTATTGAATGTGGATTAGCAAAATGGTATAAATTAAAATCCGCTTAATTTGAAAAAATGATCGCAATTTTACAGGTTTATTACGAGATATATACATATATATATAGATGGTACTAGAAAAGAAAAAAGTCCTCTGATTTTTAACTAAAATGTGTGAATACTTTCACATATAATATTATTAGTAAAAATAATATTATATATATAGAATAGCATTTTATAATGAAAAATATATATTTTATATATATTTACACACACACACACACACACACACACACACGCGCGCGCACACACAAAATTGGAGGTCCTATAATAATACTAACAACAGCAACAGTAACAATAACAATAATTATACCCATAATCTTAATAATAACAACAATAACTCTAACAACAACAACAACAATATGATAACATATATAACGATGATGATAATAATTCGCTCTTTTTGTAAGCGGAAGGTAAAAATGTGAAAAAAAGACTGCGACATCATATAATTCTAAACTAGTGATAGTAGCGACCGCGATTCCGGTATACGCTGCATACTCGAGTTTCCGCGATAGCACTAAACATGACGTGCGACAATGAAATAAATTGCCGCTGGGTGACAAATGCTGAGAAGGAGAGACGTTTTAACCACATACTTTTCTCCTGATACCATCGGCTGTTGCGACTGTGTGCCGACTATTGCGAATTTCCGTAGTAAGTAGAGAAGGAATGCCGATCAGCCCTGTGGGATGAAATGGGAGACGTGCCGTAAATCTCAAACATTCGATAACACGGATTGTCGTAGTATTTTACGCATATCTTCGAACAATTTACGGGCGAACTCTTTGTTTGTCAGATTACTGAATTTCGGTTCTTGAAACCAAAAAACAGTCACCGATGCCGCGATAATAAAAGCTATTGAAACTTTCTTAGATTCTAAAAAAAATTGATATCTTTATTTTTTGTGGCAAAACCATAAAAGTAGTAGAACTTTTATATCTATAACAGATGTTTTTTTTCGATTGTAATTGTTGAATTATATTTTTGTAACCGATGTACATATAAAAGACACATTTAAATATAAATATAAAATTTATATAAAATTATATAAAATTTTAAAATAATTATAAAAGTTTCTTACTTCTTATTCTTAATTCATTTTTATATGAAAAGCTAGCTTTTAATTTTTCATTATTATTAGTATATGTACATATATTGTTTATAATGTTTTATTGCTAATATTTGCCAGTACCATTATAGTGATACTTAATCTTCTGCCGGCAATATGAATTTTAACTTTTTCATCAACAATAGAGATCTTTGAGAAACAGAGTAAATTTTTTATCGTTCCGGATTATATAAAAATCTGAAGAAACTCCGACATACCTATTTATCAAAGCCTTAACAATGATCATTATCAGATCACTAGAGATCGAATTGTATTTTATTTATTTTCTGCAGATTTAAATTTATCTATCATAATTCACAACTAGAATATCGATACTTTTAAAAATCTCGGTTACCGACAAGAAGTTAAATGAGTAAAATTAGTTATACCTTCTCATATTAAAGAGCCATGAGCTTTAAAGGACGGTTCAAATCCTTTCAGATAAATTTTGAACGAACCTTTCAAAGTTTCGTGAAGTTTTCCGCGGCGGGTATTGCCAACACAGTGACAAGTAGGGTGAAAATTCCGATTCAGCACGTGAGAGTGGAAATCGTGAAGTCGAATCCAGCACGCGCTCAATGCAGCACGCGCGGTAATTCGCACGTTTCTATTATTTTAAAGGATTAATCGTCGTAGCACATCAGAGTTCTAGGCTTTCATCTCATAATTCCCGTGTAATTTGTTTTCCGACATGAAATTAATGACTTTTGTGCTAAAGACGCTGCCAACCAAAGAATTCGTCTCGACAGCACCAATGCATTTATGACTGCCTCGCCGAAACGAGATTATGCATTTCTGATTTTACATTATCCAGCATATTCAGTCTTTGCATGATTTTATTCAGCATTGACGTTATTCAGCATATCTAGTCTTTGCGACGATTGAATTATAGCGGAATAAGAAAGTTCTTCACTTTTTACGAAGGTTTATTTCAATCATCAAATGTTGTCGAGAATTCGCGTCGTTTGTTCGGGTTTATGGATTTAACGAGTTGAAAGCAGATTTAAGGCGTCTTTATCTTTTTGAAACATAAAATTAAATTTTAAAACGTCGACCATCGCGAGAAGAAAAGTAAGTGGCCTATACTTAACGAGCTACCTTGGATCCAGACTTTTTGAATTTTAAAACTGATTAAAAAATGGTTCTCTTTTTTCATTTCTGTGATACTTTTATTAATAATACATTTTTATCTTATTTTAATTTTATTTAAGAATAAATTAAGATATTTGATAACTTTATGCATCTTTAAATTAATATAAGATAAACATTCAGAATAGCGCACGAAATGTCAGACCATTTAATTATCGTTATTTTCAGATTTTAGTAATTAATTCTGTACTAATTATGTACCAATTTTGTTAAAAATAAATGTTATATATAGGATTGGAAAGTATCTCGTTACTTGTAACGAAGTTAAAGTTATTTATTCAATAATTAAAAATTAAAATAATAATAATAATATCACAAGTTTTAAGTTTGATCGTCGAAGAACTATTATTGCAAAAAATATTATCTGAAGTAAATGATATTTGAAATAATGTATATGTGTAAAAGGTTATTACAAAAAATGAACACAAAAGTAATTGAGAAATAATAACTCGTTACTTTTTAAGTTAATTCTAAGTACATTACTTTTCAGAGTCGGTAACTTGTAAGAATAATCATTACTTGTTAAGAAAAAAAATTCTATCTATATAACATTCTATTTATATAACATTTGTAAACGTTCCCCGATTATATATAAAGCATATGACATTTTTTCATGTACTACTCTGTAGATATTGAATAATTTTGATATTAACTTGAACAAATCTTAGGAATAAAGTTTATAAAATGCTGGCTTTACAGTCAGAAATATCGTAAACTTTCATATCATGTCACACAAAAACTGAATGTTCCGGATGCTTTTCCTTTTTGTTGAATTTTTTTGTTGAGTTTTTGTCTGTCTGAAAGAGTCACGTAGCTCGAAGAGAATACTCGTCGTATTTCTTTGTAGGAATGTATGTAGCCCAGAGAAAATTGATCTTTTATTTTGAATCGTGCTAGCAGAAGGGCGTGTATTATACGCGTCCTCGGAGACGGAAAAGAAGTAGATGCTGTAAAAGAGACTTGTGACCATGTCAGAGGAGAATAGTAACACCGAAATTTATATTTATGAGTATCCCAGTTTTCCTTTAGGAAAAAAATGGCTTGTAATTGAACGCATTTATATCAAATATGAAACGCTATGGACGTAATGGAGAAAAACTTTTTCATATGATTTCTTTGAACAAATCCAATAATAGACATTTCCAGATTCAATCTCGAAATAATTTTCGTATAATGCGACAAATACAAATGATCGGAGAGCTGCTGTTTATAATCTTTCACTATGTATACGTCAGAGTTGATAGGAGTTGACGTTAAATCAAGTTGTTTTGTTAAAATATTCAGAGACTTCGTGTAAACGTTTACGTATGTATAATTTCGTAAACAATAGAATACATTCGTATCATATTACATTCATACGTATTTATATTACATTCTTACTATATTACATTCTGTCAGTTATATTAATTTATTTATATGAATGTTGTTCTCTGCAATATTATAATATTATCGTAAAAATATTTGATTTGATAAGAATCCGAGAAATGGATATTTCTGTGTAATATATTTGTATCATATAAATCGATAATTAACAGATGAGTCAATGTTTAAATTTTAAATGTACCTATGATATGTTTGCAACCAATAGAATATTTGGATACATTTATAAATCTGTTACATCCATTTATAAATTAAATAAAATCCGCGCATTCGCATATAAACTGTGTCATGCTTAATATTACATTTTTTACGTAAATTATTTTATTTATTTATTTATATGAATTTATTTATATGAATATTACGAACTCTTGATATTATTCTGGGATATTATTACAAAAGGTTCAAAAATCAGAAAAATGGATAAGTGCAATGATGTAATATATCTATATTCGTCGATATAAAATCTGTCGAGTATTGATTTATACTATAAATGTATAAACGTATTTTGATATCTATAATTCATTGTAATATAACACAGTATTTGTAAAGTTATATACTTTGCTATGTAGAAGATGCTAGCAGACAATACAATTATCATTAAAATGTAAATTAAAAGAGCAATCGACAAGTGATAAACCAACAACTATAATTGCATATCGTTTGAAATACGCAGGCTATACGATCGTCTCTCAACATCAAAATAAGCGTAGTAATTAACCACATGGCACTTGTTACAATATGTCACACATATATCGTACTGATTCCTTTGATCTGTCAAAATGAGAAACCACAACTAATTTCGACAATGATTATCACTGTCTGTCGCAATTTGATTCGAGGAAGAGAGATGTTTTTAAAAAGAAAAATGGCGGAAGAATCTATATAATAACATAAATGCCATTTTTTGAAAGCATGTCTAGGTTGCGTTCCGATATTCACTGCTAGTGAAGTACTGAAAATCTATAGTGCATGTAACTTGTGTACACTATAGATTTTCAATACTGGGACGCGATTCCATAACTTTTACACGCTAACAATTGTCAGTGTCGTTGCGCAGCTTTTTTATATAAAATATTTGTGCAATGATATCGACAACTCGGTAGATGTGTAAAGATAGTTACGGAATCGCACCTCTGGAAGTAAATATTGGAACGCAATTCTAGTTTCTTTCCATCAGCTTTAA